CTTTTTTTATTCGTAGTCTTCGATATGACTGGAAAGCCTGGCTATACAGCTGTTTTAAGACCCAAAAATTTGATTTCTTTTAATATAACAAAAAAAAAAACATAATGAAATAGATTTTTTAGATGGGACGCACTTAAAGCATTGTGACTGTGAAAAATGAAAAGTAGGATCAGGAAAGAATGTTTGGTGATAAACAGAAAGGGAATTCGTCTTTTACTTGATCAAAAAATTGAATTCTTAATAGTTATATGCATAAAATAATAGTCCCAATTGTAATTTCATTTCATACATAAATATGCCATTTAAAATAATTGAAAGTAAAGCTAATGCTTGCCATATACCACCACTCCCAAATTTTGGCCATTCCTTAGGAATTTCTACATTTAACATCTAACCACATCCAGCCTATAATAAATCCACACAAAAGAAACTTTTTGGCAAGCGTGAATTTATGCTTGCCCGTCTCGCCAGCCCGTTTCCTTGGCAGGGCGACGCTTCTCTTGGTCTCTGGTGCTCTTTCCTTCTATTTTTGTTCGGAAATGGGCTTATAATTCATGTTTTAATTGGCAAAGCCACAATGCGCGTCGTCAAAACGTCCAAAGAGTCGTTTATTTATGGCGCGTTAAATATAAAATATTTGGCGCGAAATCGAAAGATGCACAAATTCTGTTTGTACAGACAATGGCAATAACAATTTATACGCTCAATGCAGCACAGTTGACAGGGCCAACAAAGCGGTTCATGGATGGAAGCAGGAGCCATTAAGCTAATCGGACACAAACACTATGGAGCATTAGATGTGTATTAGCATTTGAAATGATAAGCTCCATAGCAAATGCTGTGTGCTTGCTATTAGGCGCACTAAAAGCCCGACCCAAGGCAACACATAAACTACAATAACAATTAGTCGGCTTATGACAAACCCTCATCAGGGCCAAACAAAAAATGTCCACAAAAATCCGCAAAGTTTGTGCGTAAGCCAACTGCCCGAGAATTTGGGAGCATGTGGGGGAGGAGTGCTTAGAGCGGCTGTGATTGTTTGGCGTCCGGAAAAAGTGGCATGACATGCGCTTTCTACAATTATATTCTGGCACTTTCGTTGACCCCCGACGGCTGTTAAAGCCTAGTGAGTGCTTAAAAAGTAAGCGCAAAAACGCATGTGTTTTTTCTTATCATTTTTTTAAAAGGAAAGTTTTTTTGTCACTTGCCTGGCCTTTTGTTTCTTTTGTTTTCCTTCCTTTCTCACACGTCAAAGATTTTTTGTCTTTGGCGAAATCTTCTTGAACGTTTCGAATGAAGTCTAAAAAGTTTTGTTGTATAAACATTGTGTGATTGTTAGCAAAACATGTGCCATCGGCACAAACACACACTCACATGCTCACACACAGCTTCGGGGAGACAAACTGGAAGACAAACTCATCAAATAGCACCATCATCTGCATATGCCACATCCTCCTCTTCATTGTCGTTCTGTTGTCTTTGTTGTCATTATGATGAAATGTGACTTTTTCAGCACATTTTCACTCTTTCCTGGATCCGCGTGTGTAACAATAAACTCGCTTTTATAGCCCGAGATTAGGTTAATCCGTTCACTGCTTTGTACATTAGGTGGTGCTGTTGTCATTGCTACTTTCTTATCTGCTGCACGGCCTTTGTTCTAATGAAGAGAATGTGTCGCGCATTAAAAAACGTGGAGCAAAAAACTTTTCGCCTGCAAGTACAGTAAGAAGTACCCACCATAAATATCAAAATCAAAATGACTTGTTACATTTTTTAAACAAGAAGATAATAAATAGAACATGTATTTGATTAACTTTTCCTTCTTATACCTTCGATTACTGATAATGTTATTAGTTAAACGAAGCAAGCTGCACACAAAAGCAACCGGACATTTGCCAAGATAATAGCAGACATTTTTTATAGGAGAGAATCAATGACCGCAATTATTTTATTCGTAATTTGAAAGCGTGCTTCTGCGATGAGCCAGAGTCTACTCTTCAGCAAACTCACGCGATTGTATCTAGAAAATAGTGCGCCTATAGTGCTTTTTATTCAGCTTGCACTGTACTTAACTCCTTTGCATTCAGCTTGTTTGCTGGCGCTAATGAAAGCTGTCGTTACAGTTTATTGTTCGAGCGCCTTCACAGAGGCTATATAACGCTGTCAATGTGTCAGATACATACATACTTATATGTGTGTATGTACAAGAGCACGCACACATGCAGCTTTACAGACACAAACATAATCATGCATAGAAGTATGTATATGTGTAGCTCTGCTTTCGAATGTTATGCTTTGTGCGCTTCTCATCACCTAATGAACCCACTGAAGAGCGTCAAGACCTGATAATCATGACACTGTACAAGTATTTGTGCCAGTGGGGTTGTGTGTGTGAGTCTTAGCACCGTCTTTGAAGCAGCTTGCGCTTTTTCCAAGCCATAATTTAGTTATACACGCACACACACCCATACGCACACCCACTCAGTGGCACTCCGGCATAATTTACGATGTATTAAGTGATTTTAAAATGAAGTTGTGTTTTTGCTCGCTACTTTTTAGCAAGCTCGCGTTTTATTATGAAAAAGGTGTAGCATGCTTTGAGCGCATGCAGTTGACAAGTGCCTTGATTAAATTAATGAAATAAATTATGATATGCTCATACATAACCACTCGTGTGTCTGCCCCAGCCCCCGCCCCTACCGCGTTGCCTTTTAAATTAAGGGTCCGCCATCTTGAAATTAATAAAGTGACAGTCGACAGCTACTGTGCGCCGGAGTGGAGCGTGTGACAGGCACACGTGTGTAAGTCGTACTTTTTTTAATTTAGCCCCTCGCGCAAATAAAGTGTCTAAGCCAACGACGATAAGCAGCTGTCACTCCTCATCTACAGACTCGAGTGATTTATGCGTCGGCATAGATTTTATGTTGGAATTTATGCACTCATTTTCTGTAATCGCATAAGCCGTACAATGGCAGCATTGCGTATACGCAACGTTGGCCAGCGACAACATCAGCTTCCGGCAGTGGCTAACAAGAAATTCAGAGGAAAATGCTTAATCACTTTTATTAAATTCGTTGCATGCAACGGAAGCGGAAGTATTGCATACCAAGCCGTCAGCACGCCTTTGATTGCAATAAAAGGCCAAGCGTACATTTAAATAGCCGTCCCCCTTCAACCTCCCCCTCCCCCATAACCACATTTTCAACTTATTTGTTTGAAAAATACAACCATAAATTATTACACCATAATTTGCACAAAAACTTTTCCGTAGTTACACAAAATCTTTGGACTAAAACTTTTGCAAATTTTGAACGTAAATTGCGTCCCACAAACGTTTAAGCAATGGCAGCTTCATAAACAAAGGTACTGTGGAATTTTTAAAACTGATATTAAATCGCTGTGAATGGAAAACTACGAAAATATATTCAAAGCAAGTTTTAAAAAAAAAAGAATTTTCCACCTGCCAGCCTTAAATACTTAGTATAGATATTAAATAGTATAAAATCTGAAGAAGAATTCCTGATTTTGTTTTGCTGCTTTATAAATAAATATTTTTCATATATTTTTCGCAAGGTTTTTGTGTCGTCTTAGAATATGAAGCCGTAACAATTCAGCGCAGTAGGATACTGAGCACACCGTTGATCCCATCATCTATATTAGATCTAGGACCTGTCTAAATACTCTTGCCTCTGCTATAAAATACTCCCTGTCTTCAAATCTGTGCTTTTAGGTTTCCTATTTTCTTTTAAATGGCTTTATTGATTTAATTAATTGTATAGTATGTTTAGTTTACTTTATATTTGTCTTTAGACATATTACTTTTTGATAGCTTTCGAACACAACTATCTTTTAAACAATAATTTAATACAATTTTAGAGTTCGACGAGCCTCGCTAAACTTAATAAGTCGAATTTTCCAACCTTTTTCGGGTTGAAAGCCAAATTTGTGCAAAAGTTTTTCCACATAATATAAATGTTTTAAACAAGAACATACACTAAGAAGGAGTTGCTTATAATACAGAGTTGGTACTCAGTACAGTTCTTAATACAAATTTTGAATAAGGATGAGAATGGTTTCGATCGATCGATAAAGGAGTGAAAATTCGGAGTATGCCTGATGGAAAAGCTAAACCATTGTGTTTTCACAACCCAGCTTTGCCTTGCCAATAGTCATTGATGGCGGCTGAGTCGCTGATGCTACCTCCATCAACAGCCGCGAGCCCCTGGGCAACTATCCTCCCGCCCATTGATGCCACAATGCCAAGCCATGCATTTAAGTGTGATTATGGTGTCTGACAAGCACAATGACTTCTCTTCTCTGTGTGTGTGTGTACCTTTCTCCCCCTTACTGCACACACACATACATGTATAGTGCGTGCATACATACACCTCCAGTTGTGTGTGTGTGTGTGTGTGAGTGCGAGTGCATTGCAATGCCACAAAACCAATTTTGCATGTAGAGTGTCGTTGTATTTTTGTGTGAGTGTGCCTAGGCTCCCAATCTCAAAATTAACAGAGTGCAGCTGGCCAACAATAAGCAACAACAACAACAGCAACAACAACAACAACAGCAGCAGCAGCAGCAAGAACGGCAGTAAAATGTACAACAAAAGCTACCAAATTAGCAGGCAGGCGGACACACATACTCCTGCACACAGAGAGACAAAAGGCGCTTCATTGCTCAGGCTGTGCAAAGTGCAGCTGAGCTGGGACTGAGTCCAATTGCATTGCGCTTTGTTGCACTGCCCCCACACCCTAACAACAACAACAACAACAACAACAACAATATGCTGCACAAATTGCCAGCATTGGTCAGTGTTTACCACCAGACGGCTGCACCGTGCTCAGTGACTTGCCCAGTGGCTTTTGGCACCTGTTCCGCCTCCACCGCTTCAAGTAACTGAATAATTTGATGCAAGCTTTTGAATCGATATGCAAATTAGAAGGGCCATTTATTGGAGGTAAATTATGCCAAAGCTACAAAATCAAAACTACACGGCATTAAAAATCATTGTCGTCCTCATCATCGTCGATGATGGCTAGACGACGACGTTTGGCGGGTTCCTGGCCACTGCGCTTCGCAGTTGGTTTTTTGCGCGCAAGAAAGTTGACATCCTCGTCCTCGTCCGGATCCTTCTGCTCGTCACTCTGCCCGACATCTTGTTCATTGTCACTGCGTGGGCGTTTGTTTGTCGTGTCTGCAGGCACGGTGCCAGCTTCACCAGCGCCATCATCATCATCATTGTCGCTATCCGAGTCAATTACATTAGCACGACGTGTTCGCCTCGACTTGCCAGCCGCGTTGCTATTCTCTTTGTTGTGCTCAGCCCCCTCTATCTCGGCTTGCTGCTCATTCTGCTCATCCTGCTCGAGCTCTAGCAAACGTGCACGATAGTCCTCCGAGTTAAAATTGAATGCATCGGCGTCCTCATGCTCTTCGTTACCCTCAGCGCCGTTGCCATTCTTTTCGAGAGCCGCAGCCCTTGTTGACTCATTTAAAACCATATCGGCCAGTTTGATTTTAGTGGTGCGCTTAGCTTTCAATTGTTCAAATAAATCATCCGTGTTGGGTTTACTTGGCTGCTTCAAGCCAAAGTCAGCACCCTCTACATCCTTATCCTCTTCTTCCTCGCTGGACACAGCAGCCTGTCGCTTTTTGCGCGACAATTTGCGCGAAATTTCTGCGACTTCTTCCAGCTCCTGCTCTTCGTTGTCACTCTTTTGTTGCTTGCGCTGCCTCTTTCCTTTAGTTTTTTTGGCGGCCTTTGGTGGAAAGCGCTGTTCGCCTTCAGCATCGCTTTCGTTGTACATGAGGCTGTCTAGCTTTAGCTGTTGCTGTGCCGATATATTTGCAACCTCCTCTAAACGCTGCTTTCTGCGCTTGTCCAGGTAATCCTCCTCCTCCTCCTCCTCCTCCTCCTCCTCCACTTCCTCATCGTTCGCTTCTGACTCGCTGCTTTCATTCTCTTCATCATTAGCCTCCAACTGTGCCACCTCGTCGCCAGCAACGATTTGGGCGCGCAGCTTCAAATCGGCTGCATTCAAATAGGTTGGTATGCGCCAATAGTTCTCCATGCCGGCAATGGGCGGCTGTATGCCCAGCGCCACCAACACCTTCTGAAAAGCGCCCAATTCCATGGCGTCCTTTTGCACATCCAGCAGTGGCAGCAGCGGAACGCCATCATCCTCTTCGGCGGCCTCTTCACAATCCTCGCTGGCCTCTTCCAGACACTCTTGCAGCCAGTCAAGGGCGGCTTGATAGTGCTCCGCATCTACCTGAGAGATAAGCGCACGAACTGTACCGATATCCAGAGGTGTGCGGACTATTTTACGCGGCTTTGCCTTTTTTGGCCCCTTGCTGGGTTTGGTGGGTTTACGCACAGCGCCAAATACAGGCTCCTCCATGAACTCGGCATCGCTACCATCGTCGTCCTCCTGACTCTTCTGCTTCTTTGACTGGCGTTTGTTCCTTTTGGGGGGCATTATCTCCGATTTATCTGCTATGAGATGCAACTGTATCATGCGCTTGATGATCTGCTGTTTGCTCCGTCGAATTCCAAACTGATGCACAATGCGCTCCAGGCAATCTGCAGAGGGTCGAAAAGTAGGGCATTAGGCATCCCACCCATTCCATCAGATCGCCCAAACACCACTTACCCGCCTCCGTGCGATGCTGATCGTATAAGCCGCTTAGCTCCTCATCCTCCTCCGGCTGCCACTGATTCTTGCCACCCGCCGCTGCTTTGGTGGAACGCTTGGTGGGTGCCTTGAACAGCAAACCCATTTCCTTCAGTTTTTTCAGGACGCCGCGTCGTGTGCGTGTCTTGTCGACTAAATTGTCCAAAATCCAATCAATCACATCTGAAAGAGCAGACACAATTGGGTTGAGAAGCTGTCACTACTACTCCTACAACGACAGCGCAATGAAATGTTATTGTTGTTGCTGCTGTTGTTGTTGCCTTGCCTTTGGCATCGTTAGTTTGGCTTGAGTGGCGCTTTGATTGCTTCTATTCATTTACTGCAAATTGAGTTTTAATTTACACGCCAAGCAAACGCGCAACTTTAAGCAACACAGCAGCAATCTCAGCCCAGTCAGCCCAGTCCAGTTCCGATTGTTCACATTTGTCATATTTACCCTTATCAGTTTCAGGATTGCGCTGATTCTCCTCAAACAGAAATCGCAGCTCGGTCTCCTGCTCCTCGGTCCAGCTTCCCTTGGTGCCGCTTTGAAAATGAATAAAATGAATGGTCAAGTGTTGTGGTTGAAATGTTGAAAATACGAGTATCTTTGGGGTTTGTATTGTGGACACCCACTGGCCACAGGGCATCATCATTTATCATGCATTGAACCCAGCCCTAAACTGGACCTCAACCAGAAGCGGATGTTGTTCTTAGCATTACTGAAGCTCTTATACTCTGAATTGCATTTCTGCTAACCACAAAATCCGGAAGTTGGTGGATAAATTCATAGAATCGGTTTTGGGTCTACAGTTTTAATTACACTTCAATTCACTAGAATTAATGCTTTAAGCCCAATTAGTGACACTCAGTCAAAGTCTTCCGGCTTTATTACTTCAGTGCCAACCTTCATAGCTTCTTGTCTTAACTTTTGATACAATAATCCATAAACGTGTTCGAAACTTACTTGTATATTTAAATAAGATAAGTAATTCTTAGAGTCAACATTTAATTAAAAACATGCCGATCGATTATCTGATCCATTTTAAAAGGGACTTGAATTTAATGCTCTAATCTATTCTGTTATGAGAAGTGAATGCCCTTTTGGAAAGGGCATAGCAAGGCAATCGAACTGATAGTCAGATAGAAGACAGAATGCCCTTCACTCACCGCCTTGCTCACTCAATCATGCGCTCAACTTTGCTGATGACCTTTTAAATCTGAAAAGCCATACACAGGCTGCCCACTTCCAGCAACCACTTCATTCATGGGAACCCCCTTATACTCACGCTTCGTAGGCATCACAATAGCCTGTCTCCAGCTCGTTCGCCTCCCTGATGCCTTTGTAAAATAATAACTCGGCATAGATTTTCGGATTAGTTGGTGCAACTTCGACAAATTTGCGCACCACATAGATGCCCAGACGCCGAAGCTCCTCCTGATGAGCGTCACGTTCAACTGCAAAGACTTGTTGAAAGATGCGAAACAGCTTAGCCTGCAAAGAGAAGAGAGATGGATAGAGGACACGCAAAGAGAGTGAGCAAAGTAGAGCACTTGGCATTCAAATGAAAAGTTGCTGCAAAGACGTGAGTGGTTGGGTGGCTGATGCCACTGGCACTGTTGCTGCCACCATTCTGCGGTTGCCGCTTGCGGTTACATGTGCACGAGCAAGATATCATTTGCAGCCGGCAAAACTTTATAAATGAGGCCCGAACCAGACTCCAGACTCCAAGCCGAGCCTCACACTGTTCGCAGTCCCGTCGAGCTTTGTATCGTCGTGCCCGCCGCTTCCGTTGTTTTTGTCGTCTGTATTTGGAATTTAATTTATCCTATGATTGCGCAGACCCATTAGTGGTTTTGACTTTGCATATGATGCCACTTCTGTTTTACATGCTGGGCAACGGACGCAGTAGTCTGTCTCGTCCCACCGCTGCTTATTTTGATGTCTTCTCCAACAAAAACTTCGGGGACGGAGGCCGCTCTATGCGCTTTTGAGTCCTAACAGACACTGAGCCGGCTTAGGTGGTCCTGATACCCAACAGCAGTCAAGTGTGAGACGCTGTCTGCAGTGTCACACTCTGCCTGCCACTATGGTTGATGGCTCAGTATTGCTGACTCTTGTGATTAACTCTCGTCTATCGTTGACCGCTGTCCGTACAACATCTAGTTTATGTCGAAGAAATGCAAGCATTTAAATTTCCAGCTTGTGCTTAAAGTTGTACTTTACTTTCCTGCCTGGTTAGTCAGCCGCCTGCCATACGCAAAACAAACAGCTGACACGCGCTTAGCATCCCAGGCCAAGTTGTGGCCTAACCAATTTCAAGCAACCCAACATGAAATGTCGGGACCACCGTCGCGACCGCTGCTGCTGAATGTGATTTATGAACTCTGCTCAAAGAAAAGTTTAATTGCCAGCCGTGAAAAGCAACAACAGCAGCAGCACAGTCAGCGACAGCAACAGCAGTTCCTCATACAATAAGCAACGTAGACTAATACTCGTACGTACATTTCTTCTTATTATGTTTATGCCCAATTCAAAAGTTTAGCTTGCAATGGGAGCTACTTATTAAAATATTATTGAAATTACTTGAATGGAGCTCATTTAGTTTACCCGATTTGCATAAAAATAGCAAAAAGGATCTAACTGCTAATTGCTCCCATTGCCAAATCCATTTGTTGAAAAAGACAGAAAGACAGAAGAACGGTCAGGCACGACCAATAAAATACACACCTCAATTGAGGAAATTGAGGTAAATTCTTCATGTTATGATTAAGTTATATACCACACTAACGATCGCTAATAACTGCCAAAATAAATTGAGAAATTGGTAAAGCAATTCACATGAAATGTATCAACATATAGAGATACTTCTTCAATGAAATAATTCAGTTCGGGGCCATGCTTCTGTGTAAAACTTCTACATTTCAGTTAAATTTATCAACAGGAGCAAAATTGTTTTACGTTTTTCATTTATGCCTATTATCAAAGTCAATCAAGAAAGAAAACAGTGGCATTATAGAAGTGATGAAAACAAATACCCTCAGCATATCCCCAAAATATAATTATTTCTAGCAAACGCTGTCGCATAAACGGAAAAACAAGCAGGCACATATTTGTGTATTTGCACAACGACAAAAGTTAAAAAAGCAAAAACCGACTTAAGGCAGCGCGTAAAAGGCTTAAAAAGTTCAAATTCCAACTGACAACACAAAATGGGGCAAGTGCACGGAGCGGGGCATTGGTTAGCGGAGGGTAACAGTGGCAGTAGGGGTAGGGGGCAGTGGTAGGGGCAGTGGCAGTGGCACGGCTCGAGTGGTGGGATATTCAACGCAGCGCACGCGTTGAAAGAAAAATAAAGAAACGCGCAGTAAATATCGTTTGTGGCTTTTCACAAATAGAAAAAAGGTTCGCTTAATTTGTACAAATTACCATAAAAATGAAAGAACGACAGTGACTGCAAAAAATGGAGGCTGCGTGGAGGCATGGAGCCCAATGAGGCCGGAGCCATAGCTTATGGATGGCGCGGGCCGACTGCTCTCACAGCTAAGCCATGCGCATTTTTCGCTTCTTTTTGTTTTTGCTGGTATTTTACTTCGTTGCTTCTGATGTTGCCGCTGACTTTGATTTATGCGCGCCTCGTGACGCAGGTCGTGCCGTCGCACTGTCGCCCCAGTCGTAAGTCATTGCAAAGCGAATTAAAAACAGCAGGCAGGCAGGCAGGCTGGAAGGCTAGACAGTCACGCCGGGCAAGGATACAAATCATTAAAAAGCCGCGAAATTGGCAGCAGCATCGAGTCTGTGGGGGTGTTCCCGGCAACTAATTTCAAGTGTCGACAATTTAATTACAATGGCTAGCTGCGATCTCACTTACCTGGTAGAGCATGCCCGGGCAGCAGCAGCCATAGGCAATGCGGTGCAATATGGTAACGGCGGCTTTCAGCGATTTTGTGGGTATTTGCGCCCAATCCGTGAGCACCACTGTGCAGGCGCGCACTATTTTTGGATTCAATAGCCTGTGGGGAGATGGAAGTTGTATCAGTTTCTGCTATTTATGCGTAAATGCCAATTAAATTATGCAAAATTTAGCAAATTATGATTTAAGCGCATTGTCCATAAAAGTATGCCACACTTTTAGACATTAGGGCGGCTATTGTGGCTCTTGTTGTTATCGTTGTTGTCCTGTTGTTGTTCTTGTTGTTGTTGGCGTTGCCTTTGCTGCGGACCACAAATTTGAACGCGCGAAAGTTGTTAGCAAACATTTGAAATAAAAGCAGGAGCAACAACGGCGGCAGAGGCGCGCAATTAAAATTAAACGAGAGCGCGGGCACAAAACACAACTGAAAACTTGACGCCATTTTATTATAACTGTGCCACACACACACACACACACAGATACACGCACAACCACAAATACACACACACACACACACGCGTACAATAAGCAGCAGCTGCGCGTCAAGCGCTGGCGCTCATAAAACTTTGGCGCAAGTAATTTCTGACGTTAATCCTTAATTAGTAGCCACGAGCGACACTAGACGGGGGCGGGTCCTCAGTCTTGGGCGAGACGAAATGGCGAGGACAGTTGAATTTGAGTTTTGCACTGCTGCCTTTCAATTAAAAATACAATTACAATTTTCAACACGACCATCAATGCAAACCGCCGAGCTCAAGAACTTTTCAAATAACAGCAATAAAATGTGGCCAATGTGGTACGCCCATCCACATCCACACCCAACTCACACCCACACCCGCAGCCACGCCCACACCACTGCAACCACTTAGACCACAAAATGCCAGGCTGCTGCCGAATGGCCTTGATACAAAAAGTTCCACTTTTCCACTTGTTCTACATGGCCATTAGCCATTAGCCAATTTACCTGCGAGCAAAATCCTCGAATTTGAATGTCGTTTCGGTCAGTCCATTATCTAAATCGGGTAGAGGGGGGGCACAAGTTTGATTTTTAAATGAATATTTAGAGTTTGCTTCAACTTTACACTCTAATACACTTACCCTGCTCACCAAATTCCTCATTCTCTGAGTCATCTTCGTCATCATCATCGCCTTCATTGTCACCTTCATTATCGTTATTCTGAGCCGGAGCCTCATCAACTGAAAAGTGTGGAAAATTCGTATGTTAGGGCATGGGTACTGGCGGCAACAACTAGAACAATGCAAATGGCCATTAACAATCATTATGACTGCTGCAATACATAAACAAGAGTACTTCAAGCAAATCACACACGCACACACACACATATATATGTAGATAAACACACGATGCAATTGCAAAGCTGCTGGTCAAGCACACTTCAGCGCAAGTGGGCGGTGAAGGAGGATGCAAGAAAACGAATAGTCTACAAGTACAATGGAATTGTTATAATTCGCCCATGAACAGTGGTAGCATTGTGCTACTTCAATAACAAATAGTTATACTACTTTTCTATTTATAATTTGAAGAGATAAAGAAAAAAAAACTGTTTAAAGATATTAGTCATAAAAATGGTCATCGCGCAGATTTTACTTTCTTTCTACGACCGTAATGTCGGACTACTGTTGCTTACAAATATTTAAAGTAGTCTAAAACATGTAATTATATTTTCCATTAATATTTGAAGGAAATATTTCCACCCTGTTACTAATAGATTGTACAAATATTATGGAAAAACTGCCGATAAAAGTACATCAGCGTACATTGGATTGAAAGTTCTAATCAATATTCATGATTGACTTCGAAGAGTATATAAAGAATTTCAATTTAATTTAATTTCCAAAAGATGGGACGATTTTAATCAATAAATTTGAAGCTTCTAATTATTCTGCTAGTCCACAACGGTTTAAACTTGGCTCTCATATTGACAGCAAGCCACCACAGACTTCTGCTTCTTGGCCGACAGATCTGTAAGGCTTTCTAAATAAAATGACTAATTTCAGAAAAACCTGTATATCTAATAGAAACAGTTAAAGCTACTTGTATAAGCATTATCAGCATTACAGTGCAGTTATCAGTAGAGACAATGTAGGAACCTGGTTCAGTTTACCAAATTATCATACTGTACTATCTAGAAAAGACCTGAACATGCAAGTGAACCCAAATCCACTGGTTGTTAGGTGAAACAAGTGAGTGTGCGTTAGCCGAAATGAATCGTGGGTGCAAAAATAGCAACAAAGCCCAAAAATTGCATCATGGGCGCTGCATTGTTTGCTACTGCTGTGTCTTCAGGGACTATTGTGTGTGCAGGAGTCAAGGTAAGCCGACGCACCTGGTTCCCCATTCGCCTGCAGCCCGAAGCAACAACTTCATTTTGAGGGCAGGCAGCCATGTAGCTGACTTACTGCTCCGCTGCCCTGCCACCCTTCTTCTCTAAAATGCACCAGCACCAGGAGCACCTGACCTCGCATTTTGCCAAAGAATGTGCCCGGCGTGTGACGCTTTATTAACATCTTGGCTATGCCAGGCAGGCAGGCAGGCAGCAGGCGATCCAACGACCAGTAGCAGGAATAACACCGAACGCTATGTCCCGTCATTAAAACACAATTTTCTGTGTCAGGTTCAAAAGGCACACACACACACAAAGGACACACAAAGGACACGCAAGGACAAATGCACCTACATATGTACATACACTCGAAGAAAAATCAGAGCGAAGTAAAAGTTGCTTAAGATAATTATCCATAAAAGATTAATATTGCTCGAAGACATCTGATTAACTCTAAGCAATGCATAAGCGACTAACGTTTAAATGTCTCTCCTAAATCGAACAATGCTTTTCTAGACTTGATTATATCAGACTTTCCACAATCTATCATTTGCATCTATTCTCTATTTTGTGCACAGTATATATAACTTGCAACTATAATTCTCTAAAGGTAGGTGTTCTATGCGAATTATGGTTTTTATGTTAGAAATATTCAAAACAACAACAAAGCAGATGATTAATGATTTAATATCACGAACAATATTTGGACCACATTTTTTTTGTGAGTGTGCAAGCACATTGATGTAGACGACTACAATGGAACAACGGCTGCGACGATATTAGTGCATGTCTTTTGGGCTTTTGTAGTTGCATTTGTTAGCTGCTGGCTGGTTGGCTGGCTGGCCAACGGTAGCTACCAAAAGCGCCAGAACTACCGTAACTGCCGCTTTTGCTGTCGCCTCGAGCGTCATGCCATTAAACATGAACCTCGTTACCGACTGTTGTTGTTGCAGCTACTGTTGTTGCATTGTCTGCGCTACACTTGCCAGCCACATTTAATGACTTTTGCGCGTTTTACAAACACCTGTACACTCACATACACACACACTCCAACACACATCGTTACATACAGAAAGAAGCATGCATGCATGACCTTCGCTTCGTCGTTGGCGAAGGCGACGCAAACAACAGCATAATTTGTGTGCTGTTGTTGTTTTTGGTACCGCCTAACGCCTCTGTAGTCTGAGCATACGTGCTTGTGGTCTACTGCGGTCGACGCCAACAGCCCATGCCACAGCTCCAATCCCAATCCATCTCTTCTCGTTCTGTGCATCCTCTTCGGCCCATCAGAAGCACGGCTGTGTAATATTTTTGGCAGCAATTAATTTGAAGTTTAACACGCATCGTTGGCACAGACAACACACAGCAGGATGATGTTGAGGATGTTGAGGGCCCGAAAGGCGCACACATGTCATTATTACATAGCATCATCAACGACCGCAGCCATTAGTAGAGTTTGCTGCATTTATGCTGCCACTTGACTTTGAACTTTGAACGTACTCCGTCTGATGTTTGTCTTGCCCACCGGCTTTGAGAGAAAATGTCTACTTCCCATTGTAATAGACTTGCCAGAGGAAAAAGGTGTAATGGAATGTGAAAATAACTGGAAGCAGAGACACTTACTCAACCACCTTTCTATGATACCTATGCCATAGGAATTAATAAGAATTAATAGGAATTAATGCGCTTTGTTTCAAAGACTATTTCTAAATCTTTATGTATTCAATACTATTATCAGTTTGCGAAGACAACTATAATTCCACACAAGCAATGCCAGCGTGTCCGTAATTTGTCCGGCAATGCGCTAATTTGTACATTACGCAGCCAACTTAAGCAACTGCCAAAGGTAGTGGCCTAATCTGGCCCATACAAGCCAGCACACGCAAACAAACCCGCTCCCGACATGCGTAAACACTTTCAAGGACTGCAACAAATGCTAACAGGTGATGACAACGACAAATGTCAGGCACACCAGCACACACATAAACACGAGCAAACATACTCACGTCGCCTGCGGACTAAACAAAATAATAACAAGCGACATAAAACAACATGCGAAGAGCACAGCCGCTGGCAACGTGCCAGTGAAGAAAGAGAGTGTCCAAGAGCATGCGCCGGCGCAGTAGGTTTCGAACTCAAATTCGAACTCGAGTCGAGCCGAGCCGAGCAGCAGACAAAAGGCACAAATGCCTTCACTCTGTTTATAAGCATGTCCTGGCAGCACGTTTAGCTCAGTCTAGTGCTGAATTCACAAACCGCCAGGACATCGCAGCCCGCAAGAACGCGTCGCGCTCAACCGACCAAGTCACACAGTAGAGACAGACTACGCGTGTGTGTTGATTAATAATTAGTGAGAGACAATCAAATGCGTTTATTTGTGACAGCCGAAAGCGAATTTAAATTAAATTAAAGTGAAGCCAGAAACAACAACAAATAAACAACAGTCGGTAACAATGGCTGTTTCGCATGTGTGCGTGTACGTGTGTGTGTGTGTGTAAATAGTATGATTGTGGGTATGTATGAGTGTTTGTGTATGCGTGCATGCTGTGGTTCTTCTTGTCTGTGGAACAAACGTCAAACTGGCAGACATCAAGGCGTCAATGTTCGCAGTTTCTTGCACGTCGCGCTGTCTCTGTGTGCGTGTTTGTGTGTGTGTGTGTTCGTTTGTTGTGTGTGTTTGTGTGCTGCTGGACAGATGTACTGGCTGACAGGCAGACAAACAGGCGGCTAGCAAGTCACTATTTATTTTGTTGTTCGTTCATTTTTATGTAGCATACTTTTATGCGCTGCCCTGCTTTTCAGCAAATTCATGCTTTTCCGTGCCAGCTACCCAGAACTCATTTCCGCACCGCACACTACAGCCTTGCCCAAGGTCTTGCCTGGTCCCAGCAGCAGCAGCAGCAGCAACAACAACAACAGCTTGGGTGTGTGCTCCCTACGCTTTGTTTTCAAAATCTGCTCATTTCCGTAACACGTCAGCGGCACTCAGATAAACTTAAATGCACACACACGCTCACACGGTGGGGAAAAAGTTGTGCCTGCGAAACTCCAAAGACGGCAACACGCTGCTCATACTTAATCCCATCCACTCTTTATCCCTACTGCAGAAAATTAAAAAACAAAAGCAAAAAACTGCTGAAGTACTTACAAAAAACTTTAACTTAAAGCCAACATAGAAACACCGCAAATAACTCACGCGCACGTAACAGCAACAGCAACACCAACAACAGCAACATGAACAATACGAGCAGCGACAAAGCACGCAAATCACAATAAACACAAATCAGAAGTACAAAACACAACAAAAAAGAAAGCTGGAATAAAGCAAAGCACAAGTAAAAAGCGAAATTTAAACGTCTGCATATTAATCAGCGCCAACCGCGTCTCGTGTCGCGTTTCGTCGCAGACAGCAGGAGACAGCGAGGAGAAAAGTCGCACTAGCTGAGAAAAAAGGAAGGAAGAACAGAAGCAGCATCTCCTGGCAACTTATCACTGAGGATTTTGAGAGCTCAACAGCAGCATTGACAAGGACAACGCACTGCCGCGCGCATTTGACCGTCAAAAAGTGGCCCCAATCAACGGGCGAAAGGAAGAAAGGAAGGGACGCAGGAACCACACCCACAAACGCCCCAACTTTGTTGGCCACTGTGGATTATGTTAATTAGGTAATTTTTGCTTTGATTATGCGTACCTTGTGCGCGCTTCTTTTTTGCATTTTTGTTTGCTTTGCAGATAGGCACAGCAATACAATAATATAGACACACACACACCATATAAATATACATACAATCTGATACGACGGACAACGTGTAGTCTGTGTCCTGCGCCTTTACATATTTATGAAATTTTCAT